TGGGTTTCGCTGAGCTTCCCTACAGTATGGCACCACCCCTGGCGAAAGCACCAGCCTTCTGCCTGAGCGTCTGCATCAGGCCCCACAGAACGCACAACGTCAAGCGACCTGATAGTACCATTGAGCCTGCTCCTGTATTTGCACGGTGCTCTGCTGCATCAGCGTGGTCTCTGTGTCTCACTGTGGGAAAACAGCAAAGTGAGCAGAAGCTGCCGGGCTCACCAACGAGGAGACTCCTCGGGGTGCTCAAGGGGTGCACTTCCGAGACGGGGGGGGGGGGCTTCTGCACGTCTCACCAGCCAATCAGCGCAGACTGACCCACGCGACATGCGTGCCACCTCATCCGAGCCACAGGTGATTAACGCACCACGCTGCCAGGCGCCATGACGATACCTTGTAACCTGCCAGCCCGTCTCTCCCCCAGTGAACAGAAACCAGACCGCGGCTCGAACCAAGTACTGAGTGGTTTCCTCATTTTCCCTCTTCCCCGACTGCTGCTCTCGTCCTCCCAGCGGATGCGGAGCAGACGGGACTTGTGAATGAAAAAGCAGGGAAGCTCACTGGCTCCCGGCCCGGGCGCAGGACTGCGTCACGCCGCAGCTTGAGTCCGAGATTTTGGCGACGAGGCCCGGAAGAGCGGCCATCCGATTTTTCACAACTTTGAAACTGTTTAATTTGTGTGATTAACTCAAGCCTCTCCAGAGCTCATTTGAAACTTTCGTTCCGCCTGCTGATCGCTGCTGGTGATCACAGGGGCCGGGGGGATAATTGCTGCAGCTTTTTCAGAACACAGAGGAAGGCAACAATTTAGGCTCTTTCAGAAGGAGACATGCGATGCAGCACGGAGCTGTGGTTTGATCTGACTTCTACTCATCTCTGCATTGCACCAGTCTGCTGCCTTGTGTCCTGTTCCACTCCATCTTACACTTTGTAGAACTGCGTTTAAAACTGAGATCAGGAAGTACTGCTTTACACAAAGGGTTGTGGGAGCGTGGAACAGGAACTCTGGCTTCTTTTAAGATATGGCTGGATGAGATCCTTGGATTAAGCAGCTATTAACCTGATGGGCCGAATGGTTCCTCTCCTCCTGCTCTTCTGCTCCCTGACTGAGCCACAGTGGTGTGGTACTTCAGCAGCCTGTAAGAGGAAGTTTGCCTCCCAGTTTACCACAAAGACAGGCATGCAAACACGTACAAGAGGCAACCTAAGAGACACCAATAAACCTGAGCCCAGCCCCGTCCAATTCATTTTTGGACAGTGGGAGGAGACTGGGAGCACTTGGAGAAAACCCACGCAGCAGGGGAGTCATGCAGACTCCGCACAGAAGGTCCCCAAGGCATGAATCGAAGAACTACGCTCTGCGAGGGAGCAGGTCAAACTGCCGCCCCTTCATCAATATCATGACATACTGTACATGATATCTATAACAACACCGAATGGCTGACACCGGAGCAGCCCCGTTTGCTACATGTGACGCTCTCCCGGTCCCCAGTACGTCACTGCCTCAGCAGAGCAGGGCAGCCTGGGCCGTGCTACAGCAGCAGTGCTCTGCTCCTGACATGCGCTCTTCTCTTCCAGCCCCGGTGACGAATCTGCCTTCCCTGCCAGCACCCTGCCAGAGCACGTCCTGCCCACATTCGATGCCAGATCTCGGCCCCAGTTTCCCCCCTCCTCCCACCCCGCCGTCTGAAAGCCTCTCTCCTTGGACCAGAAGCCCGATTTGACGGCGGTGGAGGCCGGAGGCTGTCGGAAAGAGGAAGAGGAAGTCACAGGGGAAATTTACTACTGCTGGTTTAATTAAGACCAAGACTCTGTTTGGGACAGCAGCCAGGGTCAGCGCCGGTCACTGCTCCCGACACGTTCGGAAGCTGCGTCAAGCCTGCCCTTTAGCGCTGAGTCGCCGAAACTGAAAAGATTAAGCTCCCTCTGCCACTCGCAAGCCTTTCATTCCCAAAGCTCATTTTCAAACAGCTTTTTCTGGTCCATTAGCAAAGCATTTGGAAGCCGGGAGTGCGGAAAAAAAACCCCATAATACTGTGAAATGCAATCACGTTGTCCCGGGATTTTATTCCAGAGAAGGCTCATTTCTACAAAGACCTTTCCAGGGAAGCAGCTCTTTTAAATTAACTGGAGGCTCTACAGTCGATACCAGCCAAATTACACACCGTTTTTTTTTTTGCTATACAGCATTTGCTTTCTGTTGATCATCTTGTCCTTTTTTACTCCAATTTGGTAAAAAATATTTCTCCTTTTTTTATGGCACAGAGTTTGAAGCTGCCGAATGCCACCCAGCTTTCAGCTGGCACGTTCACTGCTGTCCACCTGCGTGGAACAATGCCGCGCGCACCCCGATACCCCGCACTCACGGGGGTCACCCCTGAGTCTCGGGGGGTCCCCCCGACACGCAGGACAACGAGAGCAGCCTCCCAGAAGCTCGGCCAGCTGGGAGCCGGGAATCTCAGGGAATCCTGCTCTCTGCATCTTGTGGCCTTTTTCAGGGGTCTACAATCACAGGGGTCTCTCAGTGATCAAATGAAATCGAGGGGGATCCGTCTCTCCATGCAGGTCCACAGGCCCGGGAGACGAACCTGGCACAAGGCACGTAGCAGGAGCAACGAAACGTCCCTTTATGAGAGACGAGGAGGGGCATCCCCGAGAGACAACGCCAGGACAGGTACAGGCTCAGGGGCTGCCGGATCGCCTGGCGCAGGGCCTGATGCAGATGCAGACGAAGAACGCATGGGAGTGCACCACTGGAGCAGAGGACTAGGTCAGAGGATGCCCGTTCCGGTACAAAACAGGGCTCCTCCGCAGCAGACACGTCACTGGGGAGAAACTTCTGCTGCTTGAACGGTACTCACTTTCCCCGGGCACGCGGACACTGCTCACTGATCCGAATCATGTGCACGAGTCCTGGCACTGCGCGATCAAGCCAGCCGCGCGTGGGCGGGGAATGTGTTCTGGTCCGAAGCCCGGGACGCAGGTGTTGCATCTTGGGAGAGAGCCGGGGACCGGATCCAGAACCGCCCTCCCACCACCGCCGCCCCTGCCAAGACCCAGCACCACCCCCTCCGCCCAGCTGTCCTCCTCGCTAACACCACCACCACCTGGAGGTCCCGCTGACACGGTTACCATGGAGACGCACCGAGAGGCGGGAGGAGGAAACCGAGGGATGGAGAGAGGA